GGCGGACAGCAACATTATCTCATGGAGAAACTGCAGGAAGTTGAGGGTGGACTGGAGCTGGAAGCGTTAGACCCTGTCATACCAGTTCAAGTCGCAGGTGGTGCTCGCATGGTTTGCCGCGACAGCGTCACGTTGAACTTGCGTATCGAGACGGCCGCAGGACCTCTACACCTCACTAACGTGTCGTGTCTTGTGATGGACGGTCAAGAGGATGAATTCCTGCTTGGGCGCAAAACGATGCGGGACATCGGTATAGATATCGACCGATTGTTTGAGCAATTGGCCAGTGGTCACGTTAGTGCTGCAGATGACGATGATGTTTCCAGAGACAGCCCGCAGTTAGCGTTTGCGGTTACTTTTGACGAGATTAACCTATGGCTGGAGAAGATGCTAACCGCTGCTGCTGCCGCTGGGTTTGGCCCAGAATGTCTTGACGACCTGCGCAAGCTCGTATTTGAGTACGCAGACGTATGGCGAGTTCGCATTGGAGCCGATCCGCCCGCAGATGTCGAACCTTTGCGAGTTAAGCTTCGTGACGGTGCCGTACCGTATCGTAGCGGAACAAGAAAGTATCCTCCCCGACAGCGAGAGTTTCTACGTGAGTTTGTGCTGGAATTGGAGCGTCATGGACTTGTACGGCGTAACAACGCCAGTCATTGGGCATGTCCGGCACTTCCTGTGAAGAAGCCGCACAGCGACGAGTTCCGTTGCGCCGTTGACTACCGACCTCCGAACAAGCACACGGTACCTTTGGCTGCGGCCACACCAAACCTGTCTTCGGCGACGCAAAGTGTGAAAGGAGCTTATGGGTTCGGTCTTTTTAATTTGTTCAAGGGGTTCTGGCAGCTGCCTTTGCATATTGACAGCCAGGAGCTGTTTAGTTTCGTTACGGAGGATGGCGTTTTCACGCCAACACGAGTGCCGCAAGGCGCTTGCGACTCCGCTATGCATTTTCAGCTGCAAATGCAGCAGTGCTTCCAAGACATGATGTATCGTAGCCTTCTCGTGTGGATTGACGATCTCCTGCTATTCGCATGTTCCGCAACCGAGTACCTCGTGAACTTAAGGAAGTTTTTTGAGGTGTTGCGCGTTAAACGGCTGAAGTTGAACGCAAAGAAGTGTGTACTGTTCGATACTCGAGCTGTCTGGTGTGGCAAAGTTATTGCCGGCCAAGGAGTCCAGCATTCACCAGAGCGCCTGGAAGCGTTGACAAGTATGCCCCTACCGCCGACTGCAGCTGCACTGCAGCTATTCCTGTGTGCGGCAAATTGGCTACGAGAGTCGATGATTGATTATGCTCGCGTCGTTGGACCCTTGCAGTCCAAGCTGGAAGCAGTGATGTCACGTCGAGGACAGCGCAAAGCGCAGCTCGCTGGCGTCATGCTCACATGGCCACCTGCAGATGAAGCAGCATTTCGTGCAGTGATCGACCTGTTGGCCACCTCCGCTAAGCTCTACTTTCCAGACCCGGACGCAGTTGTCTGCATGTTTACCGATGCTTCGCTTGGTGGTTGGTCCGTAATTCTCAGCCAAGTCCGCAACTGGGCTGAAGGTGTACCTGTGACTGAGCAGCTACACGAGCTGTTAGTGTGTCGTGGTGGTTTGTTTACGGGTTCTCAAGTGAACTGGTCGATTGTAGAGAAGGAGGCATACCCTGTGATTCGCGCTTGCAGCGACCTGGCTTATCTCCTCGAGCGGGAGAAAGGTGTTCAGATCTACTGCGATCATGCTAACTTGATTCACATCTTCTCACCTGACAAGACAGTCAAGCCACACTTGCGCGGGAAGCTGCAGCGATGGGCCCTGCATATCGTTGGTGTCCGCTATACTATTGAGCACATTAAAGGCGACGATAATGTCTGGGCCGACCTCGTGTCTCGGTGGGGACAAGATGGTGCTACTCCGACGCAACCACCGCAAGCAGTCAAGCGAGTGTCACTGTCAGTGTGTGACAGCGCAGAATAATCGACACCTCGCAATGCCAGGCCATTTGACGCCGTTAACGTCTACGATGGCTACTGACAGTTTCCACCTACCGAAGAGGGGGTTGATAAACTGACACTAGTTAAGAGAGTGACAACCAGAAGCACTCAGCCGGTCTCGACGCTCCGCCCGCTGCAAGACGAGCACTTTGCGTGGACAGCGGTAGGTGCAGTCCAAGACGAGCAGCACCGTTACCGCGCCGACGCTCCGGTAGCTGCAGCCGATGATGGGCTCATCCGCGTAGATGGTAAGCTCTGGATCCCTAAGCAAGCTCACGAGCTGGTGCAGCGTCTACTAGTCGTTGCCCACTGTGGACCGCAAGGGCATCGAGGCAGCGACGTCATGCATGCAGCGCTTACAGCCCGCTTTGCTATTGCCAACACAAAGCCGATCATTGAACGGTTTCTAAGGAACTGCCTGCTATGTAAGCATGTCAAGGGTGGGAAGATTGTTATGCGTGCGTGGGGGCCTACGTCTACTGCAGTGAAGCGCAACGAGTGCCTTCACATGGACTATCTGCAACTAGGGGATTCCTATGGTGCGTGCCGCTACGTACTTGTGCTCAAGGATGAGCTTACTCACTACTGTGAGCTAATCGCTGCCGACGCTGCAGATAGCGCTACTGCAGTGCAGGCTGTGCTCGACTGGCACAAGCGGTTTGGTCTGCCCGAAATCTGGGTATCTGACAATGGATCGCACTTCAAGGCAGCAGTGATGGAGGAGCCTGCCGAGCGCTTGCAAGCGACACAGAAATTTGTGCCCGTGTACACACCGTGGATTAACGGTACTGTCGATAGGGTGAATAGGGATATTTTACAAGTTCTACGTGTGATGCTCTTGGAGTTCAAGTTGGACACCCGCAATTGGGTTCACCTCCTACCCGTGATCCAAGCGAACCTCAACCACTCGGCAGTGGCATCTTTGGGGGGACACGCCCCTACTGAGCTGTTTACCGGGTTACCGGCGCCGTCTCTACTCGACACTATATCCGTCCCCGCCAGCGACTCCTTTCGCTTGTTGCCGGTTGACTTGGTCGCGGTTGCACCACACCTCGACAAACTTCGGGAGCACCTGCATGGATTACATTGCATTGTTGTCGAGCGCAAAGAACGCCGCCGCCTACAAGAAATGGCGCGTGCTAAGGGCACGGAATGCAACTTTGCAGAGGGTGACTATGTGCTATGGTCGCGAGTTGATAACCGCATGAGCGGCAACAAGCTGCTGGTCCGATGGGTCGGGCCGTTTCGCGTGGTCCGCGCCCTCTCGCATTCGTTCATGGTGGTTCATTTGCTCACGAATGACGAGTTCGAGGTGCACGGATCGCGCCTCAAGCACTATTGCGACGTCGAACTCGGCGCCACGGCAGAGATTCGTGAGCACGTGGCCACCCAAGGTATTGTGCTTGGCGTGCGAGCTATTGTGGATCACCGGTATGACACTACTGCCAAGGAGTGGCAACTTTACGTGGCGTGGCGTGGACTTGAAGACGTGGAAAACTCGTGGGAACCACTCGCCGCAATACACCGCGACGTCCCTACGCTGGTTCGTCAGTATGTGCAGTCTGTGGAAGCTCCAGAGCTTGCGGCCGTTCTGTAACTCTGCAGTTTGAAACTTCAACGAAAGGTCACTTGGTGAGACGGGGCATTCGGTAATATGTGTACAGAAACGAGCCGTCCTTTTCCAAATTTTCGTGTTTTGAATTTCCGATTTTCAAGTTTTATTTACAAGTTTCATTTTCAAGATTTCCGGCGCAGTGGTCGTCTTGGGGGGCAGTGTTGAGCGCCACCAGGGCGCCGTCTCCAGACGACACTGCAAGGACGGACTGCCTGTCTCTGCATCCATCCCGAGCTGCCAATCGCGGCGCGGACCCTGAGCTCCCTGCCAATGGTGCAACACGGCGCGTGCCGAGGACGAAGCAAGGGAGCACCATACCGTAAGCACTGGATGGAGGCACACGGCGACAGACTGGAGTGGTCGGTGGCATGCTGCAAGGACAGCTACGGAAGGACAGCCACAGGAGTTGCTGTCCCGAGTAGCCTACTGGTAGGAGCATGCTTGAGGAACTCTAACGCTAAATCTCACTTCACTTTTTTCCTTATTGAGCTCACTTGCCATAGCTCTGTACCATATAAGGATGTGTGCCCAGCTTGTTAAAGTGGACACTTTTAAAAGACAGCGATTAGAAAGTCGACACCCTGTTTGGTACCCAGTTTTAGAAGATTTTCGCCGGGTCGATGATAGCGGTGGATACTCCACAACCTAACCAAGCCTCCACATCTGGATCACACGGAATACCCACTCCATTTTCAATCTGGAGAGCACGAACCCGAATTGTATCGGGATCGGTGTTACATGAGAGAACCTGCATGCGATGGTTGTAACACATTCCGACAACCGTTGAGTTTGCTTGAGGGCCAGGAAGTTGACACTGTCGGAAGGGCTCTCCGTCACATATTTGGATGGTAGTGGGTGTTGGAGTTTGGGAGAGACCAGAATATGGCTCACAAACTCTAGCGGAAAACTTGTTAAACACTTGTAGAGTTGCTGGAGTGGCCATCTCTGAGCCATCGCCGAGGCATGTTGTATCCTTACAGAAGGGATTACTGAGGTCGCAAGTACCGAGGAATCCATTGCAGCACAGGTACGCCCCTTGGTAGACGGCAAAGTGCACAACGGGGTCAATCGGCTTTAGATCTGGTATCCAAGCCAAACGTTTCACCATCGTCAACTCCACCCGGTCAGGCTGAGACGCATGCGTTAGAGATGGCAGCTCCGTAATCCCATTCATACGGGCAAGGATTAAGCAGTATAAGTTCGGTGCTCCATCCATTGGTGGTAAGCGGGTCATGCGTTGGTGGAGACCTAACTGCAGGTAACGCAGGTTCGGCATGTGACTGAAAAGATCCGCCTCGAAATTGCCAAGGTTCTTGCTTCCTACTTTGCCTTCGATTTGCCTAATGAATTCGAAATGTGACTTAGTTATAGATGTTCAATAAGAAAATGAATAGAAAAAAAACTTACAGAAACTCGAGATTGTGGAATTCCTTCGCCCAGATGGGCAACTCCTCAATGGCGCAGTTGACGATGGATCTACAGAGTGAAACGTGCTTAGTATTAAAGAGCAGCATTCATCAACTACATCGTGGAGACGTACAAATACTTGAGATTGTGGCAGCTGCGGAGCTCATCTGGAAACCGAGTCAGTTGTCGATTGATAAGCTGCAGCGTTTCCAATGTTCCTGCTGCTGTCAGTGCTTTCACCATGTTGGTTGCGTCGATTGGATGCGTCCACTCGTAGGGAGCACGATTTCCAGTGACAAGTGCCTTGCATGGACAAAATTCGGAGTAGTACCACCGATAGGCAAATACGACGCACTCTGGATGAGGTCTGCAGATCGTCTGGGACGTTGTAATAGCTTTGTGTGTCACAAAGAGAATACCAAGGCTGAAGGCGGCGAAAAGAAGAGCGATGGATCTTGGGACGGATTTCTGGTAAGCCACTGCATCCCCAGATAATGCCAGCACTGTAGATGATATTTTCACTACAGGTTTTGGGTGTTTATGTTGCTCCAGCATTTTATCCGTCTGCATTTGAATAAGAACATCCACAACGCGCTTAAAACGATACGAAAACCCTAGATTCATACCAATCCGAAGGAGAAGATCAGGTGCCGATCGAATACGAAGAGAGCCAAAAGACACCCGGAAGAGCTCGATCTCTGTCGGGTTCGCGAACATTCGTGCGCGCCTTTCAAAGCTTCCGACGGGCATCAATTTCATGTAAATGTGAAACGTATCGTGGTCGTAGTCAAACGTGTACGAGCAATAAGCCAGTAACAAGATGGGAAGCAACACTGTGGCGCCAAGATCGAACAGCGAGTCGAGTAGAACTTCCGCGAGCGCTGAGTGTTTGCTACTAATAATTGAAACCGCACTGGAGATCGAGTTCATGGCAATAAACCCAGCAAAACTTACAGTGAGATGCACAGGAATTCCCTCTTCCATCATCTTGCCAAGTACAAAAGTTTGCATGACCAAGTCGAGAACCTTGAGACACAAATTCTGAAATATCAACCATCAGCAATGAGCCTTTTAAATACTTCGAAGTAACAAAGATACATGATCGACGGTAGCTTACCCAAAGTTTGCGATATTTGCCATGGAATCCCGTGAGCTCTTTAAAGAGCAAATACAGCTTCCAGATCAACCGACGTGTTTTGTGTGATATTTCTAGATCAGCCAAATCTTCACGTTGGTCTGATGCACATTGCTGCAGAATTCGGTCGAAAACTGAGCTTTGCACTTGGTGGTGATCAGAATTTTGAGAAGTACGTACACGTACATTATTACCACCCCGCAACCCCGACAATTTGAACCACTGTTCATTTCTTAGGTATCAGCCAGAACTGTCCATCGTCGTAGCCCCCAGTGTTCATGAGAGCATTCGCGGTTTCGTTAGGAGCGACTGAGAGCACGATAAGCCAATTCGTCCAGAAGATACAAATTAGAGCCACTACGACCATTGGAGGACCAAGAAGCCCAAAAGCATCACGAAAAGACAAATACTGGACTGGGAGATTCACAACATCCCGTCGAGGCGCCGTCGCCGTATTATTAAAAAGAAACAATCTTCGAATTAACGTTCTACAGGGCGGAACATCGTTGACTGTAGGGCCGGCCGGGACAACTTGGATTTCCCCCCGCTTATACCACGCTTTTCGTAGACGCCGCCAAATGTTAAGTCGAAGGAATGACCGCCTTTGCGCGGCTATATGCTCTACCGGACTTGTCTTCATTGGAGAAGCGATCGCAATCAGAGTCATTCGTTTATACGCCAATAATGCCAAAGGCTAAATTTAGAAGATAGCGCGCCCTTGGCTCTGATAATTACTCAGAACACCTACATGTAAGAGACCTTTGGACTATATTTTGGATAGTACATTATATCGTCCTATTTCTAAATTTGGACACCTCAGCTCACATGTAGAAGCTCCATACACACTCCGGTGACGTGTCACCCGTCACGTGTGGCACTATCCGTATGGATACACTGGTGAGCTTACCTTCAACATCGAAGCTGCGGAACATGGATTGTCTGTGCACGGATTTGCAAAGCGAATGTTTTACGGTTCGGCTCGCCACACGTACAGTACACACTTCGGATTGAAACCCCTGTAACGTTACATGTTCAGTATTTCAAAGTGAAAACAAAACACTCCTGAAACTTGTGTGCCAACGAGACCACCTTACTAGGCACTGACAGTCAGTGCCTAGTAAGCCTGACAAGCTGTGAAGACGTCTGCCTCAATTCGTTCCGGTGTCCGGTTTTTGTATTGATCGAAAATGCTCGCGTCTGCGCTCGGACTGGTCTTTGTTTTGGTCTCAGGTAGTTACGCCTTCAACTTGAGATTGGCGTCATTGGAGTTCTCAGGAGAACTCCGCTTTGTAGCTCATTTCCGAGTTGGCTTCGACTCCCACAAGTCCCCGCTATGAAGCTCTCCAATTTTGCCAAGCACGCTCTCACGTTCACTGGTCCGTCGCCGATCCAGCACATGGAACGGCTGTCGAAGGCTCTGGGCAACAAGGTGCAGCTGTATGCCAAGCGCGAGGACTGCAACTCCGGTTTGGCCTTTGGTGGCAACAAGACGCGCAAGCTCGAATACATCATCCCGGAGGCCATCGAAGGGGGCTACGACACGCTCGTGTCCATCGGCGGCATCCAGTCCAACCAGACGCGTCAGGTGGCCGCCGTAGCTGCTCACCTCGGGTTCAAGTGCGTGTTGGTCCAGGAGAACTGGGTAAACTACCCGCCGGAAGAGACCAACGTGTATGATAACGTAGGCAACATTGAGCTGTCGCGTATCCTCGGCGCCGACGTGCGCAGGGACTCGGCCGGTTTCGATATCGGCATCCGACCAAGCTGGGAGGAGGCCATGGAGAGCGTCAAGAAGGCCGGTGGCAAGCCGTATCCCATTCCGGCTGGCTGCTCGGAGCACCCCAAGGGTGGATTGGGCTTCGTCGACTTTGCTGAGGAGGTCCGTCAGCAGGAGAAGGAGCTGGGCTTTAAGTTCGACTACGTCGTCGTGTGCGCCGTGACCGGCAGTACAATGGCTGGTATGGTGGTAGGCTTTGCGGCTGACGGTCGTGCGAACAAGATCATCGGTATCGACGCGTCCGCCACGCCCGACAAGACCCGCGAACAAGTGCTGCGCATCGCCAAGAACACGGCCGATCTGGTGGAGCTGGGGCGCGAGATCACGTCGGACGATGTCGTACTCGATACGCGCTTCGGCGGCCCCGAGTACGGACTGCCCAACCAGGGCACGCTGGATGCCATCCGGCTATGCGCTCGCACCGAAGGTATTCTCACCGACCCAGTGTACGAGGGCAAGTCGATGGACGGTATGATCTCCATGGTGCGCAACGGCGAGTTTCCGGAGGGCTCCAAGGTGCTGTACGCCCACTTGGGCGGTGTACCGGCACTGAGCGCGTACAGCTACCTGTTCAAGGAAGGCTGAGCGATGATTGTCTTGAAAAATGCAGACGCAGACGCCTACATGTAGTGTTTTCAGCTGTAGAATCACTTAGAGGGTTGACTTGATGCGTGGAAATTATGAATACGCTTATACTTCGAGTACTTGCTTCATGTACAATGCCGCTTGTTATAGAGAAGCTCATAACAGGCTTATCATTAGAATGCACAAGCTCCGATCCTTTTTACAGCTTCATGGGGAGGGCATCCCGGTGGTATTTGGCACGGAAGTAGTCGCGTACGTAGCCCAGCACGAAGAAATACTCGAAGATGAGGACAGCGACTGTGTCAGCAATACCCCAGCCGAATAGTTCCCAACGGAAGCCCACGGGTAGCGGGATGTCGGGCAGACCCACGACGTTGGTGCTGCTAGCCACTCGGAACTGGTCGCTGAAGCGCGATGGCGGTCCGACAAACATAACGACGAGCACCACAAACAGCAGCGCGTACCAGAACAACAAGAAGAAGTTGTGCCAAATCGGGCGACGGAAGCGAGAGCCGAGAGCCATGGTCAGACCCGTGGACATTTGCTGGAAGCAGATGATAAACCACAGCGTGGAGCCAAGATTGCTGTCCTGCAGTTGCCACCACTGCACCAGGTTGACGTTGCTGGGCTGGAACGGACAGTACCAGGGCTGCGTGGTCAGGTCATGAATGGCCCCGTACAAGAACAGCCAGTGGATCCCAGCAGCGCCAACCAGCGAACAAACCGTCGTGGGACCCACCAGACTCGACGTAGGACGCTGCGATCCCATTTTCGCCAGCGGACGAGCACGGGTAAGACCATACGAGAGTCCGACAAGGATGGCGCCGTCCAGATACATGAAGCCAAACTGCGAGATGAACACACCATTGTAGTACATGACGGTACGGCAGCCGATGCCGATGAGACCGTACAGGATCAGATACTTGACGCTCGCGAACGACGTCGCCAGTGCGCCACGGCCTTCAAGTACCAGGTCCACCACCGACTTGAGCGTACGTGACTTGCTCGTGAACGGAGACACCACTGAAGCCTCCGCGTCACTGAGCGCCACACCCACGTGCGCGATACGCAACGCGCCGCAATCGTTGCCACCGTCACCGCACATGCCCGTCACAGATCCTGTAGCCATGTGCAGCTTCACACAGTCCACTTTACCTTGAGGCGTCATACGACTGAAGATGCGGATCTTGAACAGAATCTTGTTAAGGTCGCCCATCCTGACCAGAAAGTCGAAAGCCTTGCCGGTCACCGCCAGTTCGGTTTTCGTGTCTACCGCCTCGACCATGTCACGAATGTCATCGAACGAAAACACCTGCTGCGTCTCCACGTCCTTCCACACGAGCGTGAAGCCCGTCTTCTCGTCTGGTATTACCATGTCTCCAAGAACCATCTGAGCGTCCTCCTCCACCATGCCGCTGGCACGGGCAATGTAGCAACCAGTCATGGCGTTGTCGCCCGTGATCATCACTGGACGGATGTCGCCCTGCTTCAGCGTCAAAATGGCGTCGCGCGAGTCCTCCTTGATCTCGTTACGGAACATGATGAGACCAAGAAGAGCCAAAGACGCCTCAACAGCATCACGGTCGCCCAGGAAAGCGGCGAGATCCGTCTCACCCATCGCTGGCATCTCCTTGTAGGCCATACCGAGCACATAGCATCCGTTCTTGGCCAGATTCTCAGCCGTCTCGAAGTAGTTGGCAGGGATCGAGTCCTTGCTGGACACCGACGCCATCTTCTCGTACGATCCTTTGCAGAAGATAATGAGCTTGCCAGTGCTCTTCTGCTTCATTACGACACTCATGGACATGCGGTGGTGGTCGAACTCGAATCGTTTGACGAACTCCAGCTCCTCCGAGCCGTCGGCAGCCTGCACAATCGGCAGTTGGCCTTCCAGTTCGATGAGTTTCCACTGCGTACTCTTGAACATCTTCACCTCCACTTCGTTACCGACCAAGTCGCCGTCCAACGAGCCCACGGCGTGACACGACGCAAGCGAGAACTTCATCATCTGGTTCAGCGAGGCGTCCGTCATGTCGTTGAACTCTGACTGGAACTCGCCCGACTCGCCGATGGGGACACAGCCACGGTAGTCCAGTCCTTCCTTCGTGATCGTACCGGTCTTGTCGAAGCAGAACACACGCACCTTACCACACAGAGTGATCCGTTGAGGGTTGAGACAGAAGACGTCCTGCTTTTCAAGACGCTTGGCGGCGTTCACCTGGCCGATCGTCATCACCACAGGTAGCAACGGGTTGAGTACCGCGCTGAACATGAACATACCATACACGAAGGCAAATAGCGTGTTGCTGAGACCAGCGTTCTCAATCAGAAACTTCATCGCGAAGTAAGCAGCGATGATACCGATCACGAACAGAACCGAGAAGACTGCCTTCAGGTGCTCGTCGTACTTGAATCGGATAGGAGCGGGGTACAGAATGGCCTGGACGAGTTGTCCACGGCTGGTGTGAGCGCCTGTAGCCTGTACGACAGCGAGGATCTCTTCGTCACGACCAGACGCCAGAGTTCTAGTGCCGGAGAAAAGCGTGTACTTCTTGCCATTGCCGTCAGCGTCGTACACGTCGCTACTGTCGTTCGGAAGCGGGAACTTCTGCACCGGCATGGACTCACCCGTGAGCATTGATTCGTCACAGACGGTTGAGCCTTTGACGATCACCAGGTCGCACGGCAGTTCCCAGTTCTCCGCCACGAGCACAAGATCACCCGGCGCTAGATCCAAAGACTTGATCCTCGACCATTCACCGTCACGGTTGACAGTCACCTCTGCGACGTAGTGGGTCATCCGCACCACAGACGCAAGCATGCTGCGCTTGGCGTAGATGTTGAACGCAGCAGCCAGCACAATCACCACAGTGTTGAGCACCGACACCCACACGTAGTCCGTGAAGTACCAGACGTAGTAGCACATAAGCTGGTAGATGTAGAAGAACGAGAAGAACTCGTCCACAATCGACGTGGCCCAGGACGGCATCTCCACCTCGATGGCGTTGCGGCCCACAATATCCAGACGGCGCGCGTGCTCGTCGCTCGTCAGTCCTTGTGAGCCCGACAGGATCTTGTCAAACGAATCGGGATGCGCAATGGAACCGGGAATGAACTTGCCTTCAACGTCGTCGAACGTGTAGCGCAGGTGCTGGAACTCGAGATAACGGGCACCTTCAGCCGTTGTGTGCACTGTCACGGTCTCCTCCACGCCCTGACGCGAGTGCGGAAACAAGAAACTCTCAATCTTGAGGACCATCTGAGCGACACCAGAACGGTCCACCAGCATCGTCTCCGTCACTTCAGGTTTGTACATGAGCACGCGCGTGCATTTATCCAGAGCCGTCGGGTAGCGGAAGAAATTGAGAATCTTGAAGCGGTACACGACCACGACAACGAAACAAAAGGTGGCAATGACCCAGAGCGAGATAAACACCTTGATGACCACCGTAGTGGGGTTGAACCAGGCCGCGTATCTGTCCGTCGCGAGCTTGCCCTGGTTGTCTCGGATTGTGAGAATGATGGGGATGTTGAGCAGCACCGTCATGAGCACGAAGTAGCCGAACACGACGTAGCCAACCACCGAGTCCGTGTACCCCGTCTGAACGACGTCTTCGGTGCTGTTGCGTAGCTGTACCTCGGACGGACGGTCTGCCAGTGACGGACGGGTGGCCGACGACTTCAAACGGGGCGTCTCGGGGCCTCCACGGTGGTCCAGGAGCTTCTTGTCGCCGTCCGTAATAGATGCCAACGGAGCCGCCGCATCTGACGATTGGTGCACACCGAGCGCCGTACGCAGTCCAGCCCAGCATGCCAGACTGACGAAGCAGATGGCGTAGATGGCGTACACGACCACGAGTGGCGTCTCTGTGAAGGAGTTAAACCGATAGACCGGCGGGCTGGACGCAGACGTGCACAGACTCTGCGGCGTCGTGTTCACTGTACCGTCATCCAGCATAATGCTCCGACACTCGGCTCCAACAGGCAGCGACGCGTTGTTATTGCGCGGGTTGGGCGTGGACGACCAAAAGATCGATGTGTCAGTTGAGTCCTCGGCCAGCGACGTGTTCTGTGTGTAGATGTCATCTTTGTCTGCAGCAAAAGTGCACTGTAAAGTGCTCACGACGGCACCATTGACTGCCACGTCGTGCAGACGGCAGGTCTTGTCGGCCTCGCCGTAGACGTAGCTGGGCGTGCTAGGGGCGTACATCGACACATCTCCGTCCGGGTCAAAATTGATCTGGCGGCTCTTTTGCCAACCTTCGTCGTAGTAACTGGAGAAGCCGTCGCCTTGCGGTTTGTTGTAGCGAATGTACACGAGGCCGTTGGAGACGTCCGAACCCTCGGGCGCGCCTAGCTCGCAGCAGTAATACTGGGGTGAGTGGTTGATGGCGCAGGCCGGATAGTCCAGTTGGGACGCCGTGCCTGCGACCAGCGCCACGGGCAGCGACAAGGTCGCCAGCGTGACCCTCATCGTGACCAACAGACTTGAGTTTGAGTTGACGGATTCACGAATGGCAAGACAGGCGACGTCGGTGGTCTGTCGTATCTGTCGACTTGGTTGCTATTTCGAAAGCCAGTTAAAAACTGGCAAAAACACGCTCGCAGCGCGTGAAACATCCCCAGCTATTAATAATAGGAGCTTCGTCGACAGGACGCGTCAAGGTGTACGGTTCCAAGAGGTAGAGAGTGGGTGCCCGCTCCAACCAGCCATTTGCTTGCGAGCTGCAACGTGGAACCTTTGCGAGGCGCTCACGTTCCGAATCCAAAAGCAACTTAGAGCTTGGCAAGCTGCAATTTGCTTTAAATGGAACCCGTTTTCATCCTCACTTTTGAGGGTTTTCAACCTGCTGCGTTTTGCATTGCAGCACAACTGTCTGATTCCAGCGAGGCGAACGCTTCAACGATATCCTTATTTTAGCAATCGGCTTGCCCAGCAAAGCTACGAGCGACACGTCCTGCTGCGTCAGCATAGTACATCCCCAATCACCTGTTGCTGCTACATGTACATGTATAAAAAACTCGCTGAGTGGTGGTCGGAATCGTCGACCCCCGCAAAACTTCACCGCCGACTCGGTGACGAGTGACCCATACCGTCGAAATTACTTCGAGTTGATGTGGATTCGCATTCACACATTAATCTCGCTCCACATTTTGCAAGGCTCAACAGATACATGTGACCGCGCATGTGTCATCGCAGTTCCAATACATCCATAATGGATTCCATTGGACGAAGCCCCAGCTGTAGTTTTAAAGAGGTTTTCATTTTATTAATAGATTTTTTTTATAATACATGTACGTGTCATAACTCAATAATGATAACCTGCCACTCGCCAGCTTTTCTGAGACTCGACGTGTGCTAATTTGGGGTTGTGGCTCATTCTCGTTTGGTTGTCAATTTACAAGATGAAGCAGAAGCATTGTTCGTCCAGCGTGGCCCAGTCGTGAGAGGGCCCCGCTCAAGTGTTTGGCAAGTGTTACTGTCACGCTCTAGAAGAAGGCTGACGAGATCTGAGGTTGTCCCTTTGGGCTCCCAACCCTCGGCTCGTGATAGTAACACCCGAGAGCTCTCCGGCAGTCTATCTTCGCTTCGCAGACGGAGTATCGAGGCCATCCAGCTGACGTACGTGTCGTTCAAAGATGCTTTCGGCATTTTAGGACCTCCAATGGAAGTGGTGGCGGTGGTTTCTATCTGCTGGACAGCGTGGTTAGTCATCCTAACTCTCGCACCAAACCAGACTGCCAATTACCTGATGAACACAACCGACTACGATAACGGACAATTCTGGCTCATTTCAGAGGAGCTATCCGTCTTACAAGTGCTTAGTGTTGCTGGGCTCTTGATCATACTCGTCCTGTACATTATCGTGCTGCTCAAGATGGTGGTTTGGAGAGAATACCACCACGTAGAGGGGTCACTGCTAGACCGAATACTGGAACGGTGTGTACCAAATAAAGCTCAATCCGATAACTGGTCGAAGCTGGACTTCGTACACAGAGTTTACAGGCTGATTTGGGAGCTCTATTTGTTCCTGAAAGAACTCACCAGTTTTCGAGGGAAGCACCGCAAATTGTGGGTAGGTGCGTGACGAGTCTATTGAAAAACAAAGGATCGTTAAGCTTACGACTACATTTTCTGTATTAGAACTTGTGCCTGAAGGCGTGCGACCTGACAATGCAATCTTTAATGCTGTGCGACCTCCTGGAAGCTGGCACACCAGTCGGACTCACCTTTGGGTTTGCAGTATTCACAGCATTGAACTCGTTATTATGCGCCATCGAGATCATCAACCACAGATTCACTGCGTTTGCTGAAATCCTCATTGACTCGCTATTTGATCTTTGTGCAGCTGTACTCTTCCCCATCGTGGTTCTCTTCTTCAGCGCCAAGAATTTTGACTTTGATCGAGCTGTATTCCACATCAACATGGAGCTACTACCCGTTGGAAGTTTCGAAAGACGAGCAAGAATGTTTGCTAACCCCACCGAGATCGAACTCTTCCGCGTTTCTTTCAATTCGCTTCGAATTCGCACAGTGTCGGATTATTTCTTACGTATTGGGATGAATCTTGGGTTTTCACATCGCTTCAAGCGAGTGGTGGAAGTGCTGATACAAATGCAGAACCAGAGACACGTCATCAATCTTCGAGAAGAGCGTCCCTAGCGCGACAATACTCCAATTTAGTGAAGTTTTCAAAGTTTCCAAGGGGGCGACAGTCATGTCAACGTACTGCTCCAAAATCACTTGCCCTCCTGTATTTGGCTTACAGTGTTGGGGTTATGGTCGCCACACAGCGCTCTATCTCGACGTCGCAAGCAGTTTGTTCTGCCTACCCGGAATGCGCTGTCTTCGCATACCGATGGAGAGACACTGGGCTCTGTCCTTGTCTTGCTCTCATCGACGTAAATCGAGCGCCGAAAACGTACTTTGAGTGGACCCAGCCTGTCGATGCTACAGATACTGTCAAAGCCTTGGCAGCAGCAGGAACTCTGGAGACGTTTCAGCTAATCAATCGACAACTGTCCGTGCTGCCGAATGAACTTCGACGGTGTCACAATCTCAATTACATGTTCGTATTCCTTTTTTAGTTGCTCCAGCGCATCCACACCCAGGGGGAGTCATAACTATCGTGCGTTGTAGCAGATTATTAATCAACTGTGCCATTGAGGAACTGCCGACATGGGCTAAGGAATTCCACAAGTTGCAGTATCTGTACGTCTCCAGTCTATGTTGCAGTTTAGACTTCTCACTTACTGGTTTGTAAACCCCACAGGCAGATTGAAGGCAAAGTGGGGAGTAACAATTTAGGTAATTTTGCTGACGACCTCTTCAGTGACATGCCCGAGCTACGGTACCTGCAATTGGGTCTTCACCAGAGAATGATCCGATTACCATCATTGGATGGTGTTCCCAACTTGTCTTGTCTGGTCCTCGCTCGCATGAGTGAATTTACTGCACTCCCTTCCTTCCAGCAACTTCATCGACTTCAGAGACTCGAATTTAGCGTCATGAAGCACTTGTCCTGGATTCCTGATCTCGAATCGGTTGGTACAATTGTTCACTTTGCGGTGTATCAAGGAGCGTATTTGTGCTGCAATGGTTTTCTCGGGACCTGCAACCTCACCAACCCGTTCTGTAGCGGTGGTTTGTGCCTCGACGACTCCTCACTGGAAGCTACACCCACAACACTGCAAGCTTTTAAAGACTTTCCGGATAACGTCTGCCAGCCTTACTCTGGAATCTCGCAAACCCCAACAACTGCCATGATTCAGATGTGCGATGGAGTCCCATATCGACAGTGTCATTTACCTGGTCTCGAGCCCAGTACGTGGATCGTGGGGATGTGCTACAACCATCGAATGCAGGTTCTAGCCTGCAATCCAGACCCTGCAAAGATCCAAGTTCGTCGGCGACAGATCCAAGAAGGAATCGGTATCCCATGTGATGTCGAAGAAGCGTGGTTAGGCTGTACTAGAATGACTTAAAGGTAAATAGAATAGTACTTTTCCAACCACATGTACACGTATTGTTAATACCCTTAACTATTAAGAAAGAGCGTCTCCGAAAGCAAGCACACTTCTGCAAAAATATTGCTCTGCGTCAACCAGGGATAAAAAAACGAAAAACTAAAACAAATTATTACGGAATTGGTCCGCGGCAGTAACGGGGTACGTATCCCTAAGTGTACCCTGGTTACATGAAGTTTGACACGTCATTCTTCGGGATATTTGGTAACCAAGGTCGTCCAAAGCCAACCATTGGTTGATGACATTGCATTTCTTTAGGTGACTTATAGTTTGTATTAAACCCAAGCTTTATCTACCTGTAAATATACTCAGTTTACATTCTACCTTAATTAGGTCACTTCGCTCTCTTTGGAATAAAGAGGGGACCTGTGAACTACCGTTCACTGAGAGTTTGTATACTCTCGGAAGCTAACGTCCTCTAGCGCAAGGTGCTGTGTGACTCCGTCATACTTGGTAGCACTCGTAGTCAATCCACGTCACCGCGGGTAGACGATCTGAAACTCTCCGAAGTTCGCTGCCATGGACAGGAGCGCCTTCTCCCATATGAACGACTCTCAGTTCGAGTCGGTTCGGAAGATGGCAGGCATCTTCGGGATGGAGGCCCTGCAGAGCCTGGTGGTGTCAACACCGGCCGACCAGCTCGAGCGCGTCGATGCGTTTGACGCGTACGAGCAGGGCCTCATCGCTCATGTGCGGGAGAACCTGCAGGCTCCGGCGGCGGAAGCAAATCCGCCTCACCCGAAGCCAATACGGCTGAAGGTTAAGCCGTATGAAGCGAAGGAAGGCGAGAGCCTTCACTTCTGGGTCCGAGAAGTAGAGCTCGCGATGGACGCGGCTCTGATCTCGACCGAGCAACTTCGTGTTGCTTTTGCACTCTCCAACCTTAGCGGCCGTGCTAAGAGTTGGGTGTACACACGGGAAGCAACATCTTCTGGATGTTTCACATCCTGGGCTCAGCTGTGTGAACAGCGTCGAGCCGCGTTCCTCCTGGCAAACTACGAGTACCGCCAGCGTTCGCGCTTCCTGTCGTGCAAACAAGGGAGGCGTGAGCTGCACGAGTACGTGCAAGAGATACGGGAGCTCACGGCGTCCCTAGTGGGAACCCACTCAACGAACACATGAAGATGACTGTGTTCATGGACGGCCTTCGACTGGGCCCCGCACGCACTCAGCTGTTCCGGGTGCAGTCAAACACCCTTGAAGAGGCGATTCAAGTGGCTCTTCAGGAAGAGTACAGCCATCACCAGGCGCGTACGCCGGCCTCAGCGTGGCCTGGGAGTTCCATGTCAACTCCCGGTCGAACGAGCCCTAACGGACCAGTTCCCATGGAACTCGGGTCCGCCGAACAGCGTGACATCCGCTGCTTCGGCTGCGGGAAGATGGGCCACTTCAAGCGCGACTGTCCCGCGGAAAGACTCCGCAGACGGTCTTTCCCCAAGCCCGTCCTCAAGGGTCGCTGGCAGAAGCCAGGATCCCGGGGACAGGGGAACGCCGGAAACGGGTAGGGGCGGGGCGCCCTACTGGGGAAGAACTAAGTCTTCGTGATGGGTGCGCAGGTGGCGCGTACCACGGGGACTTAGCCCCTGGGAGTCTTCGCACTCTCGAACCGGCGAAGAGCAGCGGCGGGTTGCTCGTAGTACACGGATGTGTACGGGGATACGATCATCCCTTTAGAATCTTGATCGATTCTGGGGCGTCGAAGAATTTCGCACGCCGCCAGACGGTTGCTCGCAACAGCAACAAGTTGTCCGACGCTTTGAGAGAAAGCAAGGGTAACGGGACGGTGTCAGTGCGACTGGCCGACGGGAAGGTCGTCACTGCCCCCAACGTCCAAGTGGATCTAGCCGTCAAGTTTGAAGACTTTGACAGCCTCGAACAGTTCACTGTTCTCGACATGGATCCCTACGATATGATCCTGGGTATGCCCTGGGTTGAGGAGCACAAGCCCTGGATCGATTGGCGAGGCAAGGCAATCGGTGCCAGCCGCCCTGCGAAGTCCGACAGAGCATTGGTGATTCATGTTCCCACCACTGTCAGGACCCGGGATACCCACAAGAGCTGCCAGGGTACCCAAGCATCCAGCAGATGTTTGGGAGTCATCGGCGTATATGACGACTCTGAGGACGCTTCGATGGTGGCGGCGCTTGGAGGCACCGGCCAAGTGGGTAACTTATGTTCACAAGCGGGTAACATAGTTCCGCAGACAGCTGCAGCTATCACGAACGCTGGTGATACCGTGTTCAAGATGGGTAACAGAGTTCCACACACGGTCGCCCAGATCTTAACTGAAGAGGAAGACGTCGGATACGCTTCCTGTGTGGGTAACAGAGTGCCACACGCGGTCGCCCAGACCTTAACTGAAGAGGAAGGCGCCGAACACGCTTCCTGTGTGGGTACCACAGTACCACACGAGGCCACGAGTGCCTCGAATGTCGGAGCGCCGACATTCCCAGACGTGGGTAGCAAAGCTCCACGTCACGGTCGTCGTCGACGACGACGCCGCCGCCTCAAGTCGGGTCAGAACTTTGTTCAGATCGACGTCGCTTCAAGCGACTCGGCGTCCAGGACCCGGGCTCCTCCGACAAGGCCGGTGGAAGAGTGTTATCACATCTTCGATAGCGAGACCGGTTTACCCGTCAAGACATCTGGTGTCCACTTGGAACCGTTGCCAGAGGTTGCAGGGATACTGAACCTCGAGGAAATGACGGTCGAGTCTTTCCTGGCCAACCTCAAGCTGGAACGGTTGCCAAGATGATGCTCATGAGACCTGAGACCACTCGGGAGGAGCTGAACTCCTCCTCTGTCTTGGACGAGAACGTCCTGGAAGACCTCAACAAGCAGCGTCAGACGCGCTTGGGTTCTGAGATCCTTAAGAACCCCAAGGATCCGGTGTATCATTTGGTGACGGAGTATGCGGACGTGGTGAACAAACACCCACCGACCCAACTCCCACCGGATCGAGGTGTACGGCATGAGATTAATCTCGTGCCTGGCACAAAGTATTGTGTCACGAGGCAATGGCCTCTCCCGCGCGAACAGTGCGAGGTCATTGATGCCTTCTTCGCCGCCAAAGCGAAGGCATGCATGGTGCGGGAGTCGAAATCCCCGCACTCGACGCCAACTTTCTGCGTTCGGAAGCCGGACGGGAAATGGCGTCTAGCTCATGCTTATAACAAGCTGAACAACGCGACGGTGTCGGCCCAAACACCTATCCCAGGAAAGGATGTGTTGTTAAACAACATGGCCGGTAGCGTACTGTACAGCGCGCTGGATTTGGTAGACGGATACTACCAGATCCTGATGCGAGAGAGCGACATCCCGCTCACCGCGGTGAGCACTCCAAGCGGCATGCTTTGGAAGTAGATGGTCATGCCGCAGGGCCTGTCTAACGCCCCGGCAACGTTCAATCACCTGGTGACGCAATTATGCCGCCCTTTGCGTACCTTCGTACAGACGTACTTCGACGACATATTCGTCCATAGACGTGCCGAGGGAGGCAAGACGGCCATGGAGGTGCATCTAGGACACCTCCGTCGAGTGTTGGACGTAATGCGAGCAAACAAGCTCTACGCCAACATCGACAAGTGCGTTTTCGCGTCACCAGAGATTAAAGCTCTCGGTTGCCTCGTAACAACGTGGGCGTTTGGGCTGACCCAGACAAGGTCAAGGCCATAGCAGCATGGCCAACGCTTCGATCCCAGAAGGATCTTCGAAAGTGGTTGGGCTTGGCCAACTACCTTCACAAGTACAGCGCAGGGTACGCGGGCTTCGCTAAGCCCTTGTCGAGCCTCCTTCAGAAGGACGTCGACTGGAGCTGGGAGCAAGAGCACCAGGATGCTTTTGACAGCATCAAGGCCAGTCTCCAAGAGGCCCCTGTCCTGGCCCTGCCGGACGAGACGAAGCCGTTTAGCGTCGTCTGCGATGCCTCCGATTACGCCATCGGATGTGCATTGCTGCAGGCCGACACGGCTGGACACGAACGAGTCATCTCGTTCCAGTCCAGGCAGCTCAAAGCCGCCGAGCGGAACTACCCAGTCCACGACAAGGAGCTCCTGGCAATGAATATGCCCTTGTGAAGTTTCGTGCTCACCTTCTGGGCTCTCGGCCCTTCGTGATCTACACAGACCACGCATCCTTGAGGACGGCGACTAACTCGCCTCACCTCTCCCAAAGGATGGCGAGGTGGCTGTCCTTCTTCGCGGAGTACAACTTCCGCGTCGAATACAAGCCGGGCAAGCTCAACGTGCTTGCGGACGCCCTCTCTCGGCGTCCTGACTATGGGTTGGCCCACAGCACACGGGTGACAACGGATTTATATGATCGGATACGCATGGCGTATCGGGACGATGAGGCTGTCGCGCCTATCGTCAAGTTTTTCACGGCAGGAACGAGCGCGAAGTCCGACTAGCTCTCGTCGCAACAGCGCTCACAGCTCCACCGATATGAGTTGACGGGTGGCCTCCTCTATTAACGGGTGGAGCCCAATGAACCTCCACGGGTGGTCGTACTTAACGACGAGGATCTGAAGCTCGATATCCTTGCGGAGGCGCTCGACACGCTCTCCAGCGGCCACTTGGGCCGCGAGAAGACCTTTTTGTCGGTCTCTCAGGCCTTCTGGTGGACCCACATGTACAAGTGGGTTGCCCGATACGTTAAGACATGTGAAACATGTCAGCGGGTCAAACCCGCAGGGCACTCTTCGGCTCCACTACAGAGCCTGTACGTACCGGCTGACTGTTGGAAGTCGATGAGTCTTGACTTCATCTTTGGGCTTCCCGCCGATGGACACGGCAACACCGGAATTTTAGTGTTCGTGTGTCGGCTGAGCAAGATGGTATACCTTGCTCCGGTTCCTGTCACTGTTACGGGCGAACAAACCGCAAGGTTGTTCGTCGATGGCGTGTTCCGCTATCACGGTCTCCCGGAGACGATTGGCTCGGACCGAGACCCGCGGCTCA